TCCATCTCCAAAAGCACATTAGGGTTATAAGCGGTAAATATATGCAATGCAAAGAAATGAAATGCAAATCCAACGAACTGTAGTGCAATGGCACGTCACTTCAGGTCATGTCAGTTTGCCTGTCTGCCTGCCTGTCTGTCTATCTATCCGACCGACCTATTTACTTATCCAACCCACCTACCTATCTACACGTCTTCATATCATATTACGTAACCAACACATTCTACATTACATGTCCATATATGAAGATATCGAAGGAGCTGGAGCCTGGAGCGGCAGTTGCTGTATACGGCAACTGTCACATGCAGAGATACTGGATAGTCGCAAGTACAGACTACAGACGGTCTTTCATGAGCTGGCTGCTCGACCCAAAGTCAGCAAGCTCTAAACCGTCTAAACTATTAAGGAGGTATCGGTGTGGACTGTGGACCTTTGTTCTAGGGCAGATAAGATATGATATTTTGACACTGTTTGTAATCGGCACTAATAATAGATAATCTACCAGTAGTGCCGCACAAGGCGGTGGCGGAAGTTTCAAGTATAGGACACTATAGGAGAGGTGAGTTGTTGTGATGCATGGATGGCAGGGCGAATCCGCTGATGGACCGAAAGGTGGTTGGAGTTGTGTTTCTTGGAGTGGTTGCAATGGTTGCAGTGGTCACCTCCCCCCCAACTGCTCCATATAGTGTGGTGTAGCGAAGTTGTAGTTGTAGTTGTAGTGTAGTGTAGTGGAGTTGTAGTTGTACTGTAGTGCAATTAGTGTAGTGTAGTTGTAGTTGCAGTGCAGGTGTAGTTGTGGTGTGGTTTAATTAGTGTAGTGTAATGAACTGTAGCGTAGTGTACTGTAGTGTTGTGTACTGTAGTGTACTATATATAGTGTAGTGTCAGTGTAGCCTAGTGTAGTGTAGTGTCAAGTAATGTAGTTGTAGTTGCAGGGCAGTGTAGTGTAATTAGTGTAATATAATGTAATGCAGTTGTAGTTTTAGGTGTAGTTGTGGTTGTGGTTGTTGTTGTGGTTGCAGTTGTAGGTGTAGTATAGTGTCGTGTAGTGTACTGTAGTGTAGTGTAGTTGTAATAAAAGTTGCAGTCGCAGTTGCAGTTGTAGTGTACGGTAGTGTAGTGTCACTAGTGTAGTGTAGTGTAATGTAGTGTAGTTGTAGTTGTAGTTGTAGGTGTAATTGTGGTTGTGGTTGTAGTTGTAGCTGTAGCTGTAGGGTAATGTAGTGTTATGTTGTGTTAAGTAATGTAGTTGTAGTTGTAGTTGCAGTTGTAGTTGTAGCTGTCTATCTATCTATCTATCTGTCTGTCTGTCTGTCTGTCTGCCTGTCTGTCTCTCTGTCTATCTGTCTATCTGCAAGCTTGAAAACTAAGCTATCCGGCAAGACTTCCTCAATGTTGTAATTTGACAACATCGAAAACGCAGCAATTCCGCAAGATTTCCTCAATGTTTTAACTTGACAACGTCAAAAACGAAGCAATTCTGCGAGGCTTCCTCAATTTTCGAAGTTGACAACATCAAAAACGAAGCAATTCAGAGAGGCTTCCTTCAAAAATGGAAAGCTGAGTGCAGAGCTGACGGCCTCGTGGCCATGCGTTCTGCGATTTTTTCCACTCCATCTGTGTAAAGTGCTGTGCCCAAAGTGACGCCAGGTCATACGAAGTGCTGCACTTGTCACGCAAAATCATCTTAGCAAACCTGAAGATCTGATGCTCCAAATGCAACCCCTCTCAGGAAATCAGCGCCCTGACCTCTTAACATCTCTGATGAACATGTCTTTTGTACTGCGCCTGCCACGCGACATGCATCTTTCCAGATCCTCTTCAGATGTCCCACGCCTGCCATCGTTTTTGGAAATACTACAAAGCCTCCACGTTTTGCTCACTGTTGGCAAGGTGCAGAATCCCTTGCACCTGCCACGCAGAACCACATCTGAACCTTCAAAAGCGGTCCGAGCATGTGGTGTTTTTAACATTTTGAATTCGAAATGTGCTTCGCGCCACAACGGCTTGCACTTTTTCGACATCTCAACTTCCAAAAGTGGTCCGGAGCTGGTGTGTTTTGTGCATTTTGACTTCAAAATGTGCTTCGCGCCACAACGGTATGCACTTTTTAATCTCTCATCTCCCTCCGCGCCGGCCGCTTTAGCGAGCCTTCTTTTCAACCCCCTGGAGCCACAATTCATTGGAAAAAACACAGTGATTCGCGACTTTTCTACCTTTTTGCGTGCCTGCATCTTCTTTCTTCTGACTCTTTCTCTTCTCTGATCTTCTTGCTTCCCCTCTGCTCTTCTCTGACTCTTCCCACCTCTGCTTTTCCATCTGTCCATATGCTCGGAAGTTTGACTTCGAAACTTCCTTCGATGGTGGCGTCTTGGGGCTCTGAAGACCATGTATATAATTCGTTGAGACGTAAGCAACATGACCCAGATGCAGCTGGAACTGGACCAAAGCTCTTGCAAATTAAATCGCGCCGCGCACATACCTTCATTGTGTTGTGAAATTAAAGGTTTCTATACTCCAAATCTACCTCAAAGATCCTTCAAAACAACACGTTTTGGGTGTTTGTTAAATATTGTGTTTTGTACTTTAACGATAAAAGACGTGTCTTGAATGCAGGGGGTGATTCATCAAAATCATTGCTTTAAAATCAATATGGACATGTCATTGTTCAGATTGTTTCCAAACCACCAGATTCCACTGTGTGTACTGATACTTGGACATTGAAGGTTCGACGCTGCTTCTCTGAACTGACATTTTTTTTTTGTAGATTTGCTGCGTTTCATGCAGTAACCTGCCAACAAAGGCAAAAAATCAAATCGCAGACAATCAATGTTGCTGACTTTCTTTTCTTGAAAAAACACAATTTAGGACACGTCCTAACGTTGAACTAAATTTTTCGAGGTCCAGAATTTCGGTGTCAAAATTGTCAGAAATTGTTCCGTGAAAATGTTGAATCCAATACTTGGAGGGGCAAGTCTTGACTTCGAACCTATTGATGCCTTGAACTCTGTACAGAAAGTATTCTTGGGCCAGTCCCAACTTTAAAGTTATGTACTTCAAAGTCCACCATATCTATTTGTGGGGGCCAACTTGATCTTTGAACCCTCAGGACTTAAAACCCAATTTAGAGCGTCTCAGCGGCCAAAATACTTTTGGCCCAGAATTCAAGAGGAAAACAAAAAACATCATCTCAAATCATCAGCTTTAAACAACTGAAAGGGGGAGTAAAGTCAGGCGTCCGCGCCACACTTCCAGTAAATACTAAAATACAAGGAACCTATGTAAGGTATGCAACATACAGTACAAAGTCCTAGGGTTCAAGACACATACAGAGCTTCTTTGTTGAGCATTGCAAATGTTGCACCCCTTAAACACATTTAAACTGGTTATTATTCTTTGATACCATACATACGTCCGTACTTACTCCTACCTGCCTGCCTACTTCCGTGCATACATAGATAAATAAACGCACATTTAGATACATTGGTACAAAAGACGTGACGGACAGATAGGCAGGCAGGCAGGGAGGCAGGGAGGCAGGGAGGCAGGCAGACAGGCAGACAGACAGGCAGGCACACGGGGAGGTAGACAGGCACACAGGCAGACGGGCAGGGAGGCAGGCGGACAGACAGACAGGAAAGGATAAGCAGGTAGATAGATACGATGCAGACTTGCAGACAGACAGTGGCTTGTGTACACACACACATAGATAAATTAATAATTCCATAAATAGATAAACACAGAGATAGATAGATGGATAAATCAATAAAGACATGCATAAATAGAATGAATGAATAAATAAATGAACAAATTAATGGATAAACAGATAAACAAAACAATGAGTAAATGAAAAAACTATTGTACCTGTGTAAACACCGCTTTCATGGACCTTCTCGAAATAGACACCAAGCTAGTCAAAATCAGAAATTAAATTTGAAGGGTTGCAGGGACAAAGGCCCCAACATTTCCCAAACAAACATAACAGAGTGAAGTGTGAGACCCTTGCACTGCTGCTTCAAACTAGTCTACCTTCACCGAGGTAGACTGGGTGGCTGGCGATGATGATCGGGAACTGATGAGACTGCAGAATGCAGGTGCTGTCATCGCCTTGGCCGGGCTCCCAGTGCTATGGCATTGCTTGGGGCATCTGCTGTGGGCCAGAGTCCGTTCCCACCCTTTCCTGTGACAGCGGATGTAGGAAGGCGTGGAACTGCCTGATCCCACATGCCCGGCTGTGAAGTTGCACTTTTCAAAAGGGTGACCACTAAGTCACAAAGTGGCGGCTTTGATTCCTGCTTAGCGATGCAAGAGTCTGGAGGTACACTTTCGTGCACCTAGTGGATTTGTCTTCTTGCAGTTCAAGACTATCTTTGACTATCTTTGTGCATTTTGGCCAAACTCTGTGCTACAATACAATGCTAGCAATACTACAAGCGCCTCCATGTGTCCCTAATGTGTTGGTCATGCACAGTGGCTTCTCCACGGCCTTTGGCAAGGACCGTGCGGCTGCTACCATGTGGATGTGCGGCAATCCCAGGCTGCGGAGGGTCTATCCAGACGGACCGCGTTCTTTTACAGCCAATTTCATATCTCTCCCTGGCGTCAAACGTCCGCTCACAGCTCTGGAGACTCATTTTCCATTTTTTGCTGCCTGTTCTGTTGTTAGTCCACCCCTTGCTTCCCCTCTAAGAGGCTTGTTGGTGTGGCCGCAGACAGATGTTTGGCCCGTATTTTGGGTATCCACCAGGACACAGGCCTCACTTGATAGCCCTTGTTTTGGCAGTATATAGATTTGTCAGTTTTTCACCCTTACCATTCAGTTTTACGTATGGTGGCTACCTGGTCAGCATTTTGTTTGCAAGCGAAAGCAGGAGAACAGACCATCCTCTATGTACTTCTTTCGGTCTTTCGATCGTCATTTGGCAAATTACTTGAGATTGGGCAGCAAGTGCATGGGTTATATAACCAAAGAGAAACAAAACTCGGCAATGAAACCTCTCTCCAAAGAGGGGCTTGCACTCGGGTCTGCTGCTTGCATTTGACTTTGATGACATGCTGTCATCCTACAGGTCGGTGGAGCAGGTGCGAAATCGTATTCGAAACTCTTTGCAGCGCTGGGTCAGGGTGACTCAGAGTTCCGCAGTGGGTTCATGTTACAGAAAATCAAACTTAAAGATTTTTTCTGTACTGAAGCTTCAGCACAAACAATGGAGCAATAGATGACTTCTATATATGACTTTACTGTGAGCTTTGGATTTGAACCGGCAATGTAAATCTCTTGCCTTGGTGAAGAAGATAGAGGAGTTACGATACATACGATACATACGATACAGACGATACACACGATACATACGATACATACAATCAATACAATCAATACAATCAATGCATAAATAACGTGGTGGTCGTATAACAGCTTCGCATACACCGGCTGGGCATTCAAGCATCATGTAGAACCAGCGTTTCTCATTTCTCCAGAAGACTGTTGCTTTGTTTTCTGTTCCGTCAAATGGTGAAACATCCTGTAGCACATCAGAGAGGTGCAATGACTCATTTGATGGGCTTGACTATATGGCTCGTTTGACTTGGAAGGAACTTCTGAGTCCAACCGCATTGCTGATACTGCTGGTCTTTCCAAGTACAGCAGGGGGGTGTATGTAATATATGGGCAATATATGAACCTTTCTTGTTGCACGGGAAGCCTCCCAAACACCAGGTTTTCCGGATAGCGGGTGCTGAAACAACATATGCATATATATACACATACATAATATTAATATAGGTATATATATATATATACATACATAATATTAATATAGGTATATATATATATACATAGAGTATATAGATATGGCAGTGATTGTTTGCCAAGGACCGCGAGCATGCTGTTATCAAGCTGCATTCCCGAGAGTCTGGTTGGGCCATCATTGGCAAAGGCACCCTGGGAAACCTAGGCATCTCAAGCAAACACATTTGCAAAGTACTTTCTGAGTATTTGTGGAGTACTATCATCGAATAAGTAATATAATTAAGGCAAAGTAATAAGTAATAAGGCAGCTTGATAGCGACATCTCGAGGATCAGCTACTATCACAATCAGTGCATAATCTTGATGTGTTGCTACGTTTTACTCTATACTTCTTAACAGTTTTTTTTTCTGTTCCTTGAACGCTTTGCATTCTTAGCTCAGGGTTCCTGCAAAGGTTAGGAGTTCACAAATCCTGTGAATCGTAGCTTCAGTGTAATGTTCAGATTTCCACTTGGAAAAACTCCAGATGAGCAGCAGGAAATCTAAATCAAATCTTTTGAAGCCATATCATATATTGTCATCCTATCGATACCAGCTTCATAGACCCTTTAATGCCGTTTGATTAATGCAGCTGTCTCTGCCCAGCTTCATTCTATTTGTTCGTCAAATTCACAGGAGGTCACCAGACAGATTCATCGCAGAAGTGCAGGTCACCCGCTCAACTCCTCCAATGTTCAGATCAGATTGATGTTTGACTCATGGACATTCTGCTGTCGTCACAAGCTTGGCATGAAATTCGCGCTGTGCAGGTGGCTCGACCATCAGGGAGCTTCAAACCTCCACACAGGCAGGGCACTGCACAAATTAAACACAAATTGAAGACAAATGTCAATTGGATTCTTCTCGAATGCTTCTTAGGATTCTAGCCTGGTCCCAAATCACTCTGCATCACAAACAGTCACAAACAAGACTGGTTCGGAGTGATGCGGAGTGATTTGAATGTTTTTGCAAAGTGTCAATGCCGGAAGAGAGTCGATATGTTGGAGGGTACTTGCTTGTTTGTCGACTTAGGGAATTCCTCCCAATATCTGCCCCAACGGAACTTCATTGCTTGTGGGTGTAAAGATCAAGATACAAAATGAACTTGACATGGGCAATGACATGAGCCTCATATTTGTATTTGCACTAAAGCACTTGTGACTCTGGGGCTCCAGCAGTTGTGCTGATAGAATTTTCTTTTGATCAACATCAAGAGCATGATTCCCTTCCCTCCAACTCTACACAGGCTTTGTTTTCGATTTTTCGATTTTTTTAAGATAGGAAACTGAGGGAAACTTAATTCAAAAGACCATTAGGTAATTATTGATGAAATGTTTGTTTCTTTGACTCATCGGGAGGATTCTGGCCTCAAATTGTTTACAGCCTGCATTCGGATGCAGCTGTTTCCCTGGTATTGAAATGCGACTGCAATGGTGTCGTTGAACAACCTGGACGAGCAGATTGGTGCGTTGGAAGAAGATGAAGAGGAAGAGCCTGAGGACAATGTCTGAGATGAATCCCATACCATGTGTTTATTTCATGATGCATGTGTCTTGAATTGGATAGTCAGAAGGCAACCATCCCGACATATCCAAATTATCCAGCAGATTCTGGACAGTTCTGAAGTGATGATGTGCCCACCTGAGGAAGATCCAGTCTCACTTGCTGAGATAAACTCTCCTCGGCTTGAAGATGAGAGAGGTTCGAAGTCCAAAAGGATGAGGAAAGAGAAAGACCAAGGCGAAGACATCGCCAGAGAAGAAGCTCCCAAGAAAAAGAGAAAGGACGGACCGTGACGGACCGTGACGGACCGTGACGGACCGTGACGGACCGGATGAAATAATTTTGCCCGTGACAGAGCTGTAGGGCTTGACACAGCAAGATCCCACTGAGGTTGAGGGTGAACTTGGGCAGCTTCAAGATCTCTTCCCCTGACATCACTAAGTCAGCAAGCTCTGGCATTGACGATTTTTATTCTCAATAAGTTTGATATGTGAAGACTCTGACATTCCAATGACGACTGACTTGATTGGTAAAGCTGCATTAACTTACCACACATGGAGGGTTTTCCGATCGACACGATCCAGCGGCGTCATATATGAAAACACAGGTGCATCCCTGGAACCAAATCTAAAAGGTGAACATGCCCACTCTGTATTGCTATCAGCTTCGGAAAGTTGTTTTGTCCAACAGCCTTCAAGCCTCTTGGTGCTTTTTCAGGACAAGGCTGCCCGGAATGCTGTGTGCTTCCGCTATTTTGAGGGCAGATGCAAGTTTGACGATTGCAAATTCCTACATGTCAGCCCGAGCAAGCTCACACATGACGAAAGGGCTCAGGTGTTGCGAGAGCTGCCGCTGCGGGAATACAGCAAAAAATTGGCAGAGGTGATTGCAGGCACAACGGATCTCAAGAGTTTCGCACACATTCATTCGCTGCTTGCAAGATCGCTGATTCTTCATGAGTTCTCTGGCTTGAAACTTGTTGCCGAAAAAGTGTGAAGAAAAACTCTGAATCCCAGCCAATCATCCTGGTCCAGGTCTCAACATCCCGCGGTGCAAAGATTTCCACCAGCGTGGTGGCTGCAAAAGACCTGCAGGCAAGTGTCACTTTTGGCACCTGACTGATGCCACAGTGGCACGCTGGGCCCCTTGGGTTCAATGGTGAGATGCTCCTCTTGGTCCTTTGTTGGGTTTTTCCGTTTGTTCACTGAGAGAATGTAGAGAATGCACAAAAGTCAAGGTAGCATTGCAAGTTCTTCCTCCTGGGTTTCACCATTTTGCTTGCATTTTTATTTGTATCGTATTAAAACCATGATTAACTGGTCATTCATATATGGATTCCAGGCTGGATTCGACTTCTGGTGCAACACCTGCTCGAAGGCTTGTTTTGATTCCACTCCACTTGATTTCGACTTCTCCGACCTTGGGATATCTTGAGATGTTTTTTTGATCTTGGACTTGACATTGCTGAGCTTCTTTCAAGCGAACAGATTGATATGTGAATAATCAGAGGCTCTATAAACAGCAGGACAGGAAGATTCCAAACTAGGAAAGGCATACAGAAAGAAAAAAAGCAGTTGGAATTCCAGTGATTGTTTCCCGTGCGCTTCCCCAATATTGTGACACTCCAGGCTTTTACTTCCAAAGATCAGATGATGGAGCCTGCGATGCATCAAACGTTTTTGTTTCACATTTTCGTTTCAATTTACCCCAGCTTTGGTGCCTGCCCCTTGTCCCCTTGTACTCATTTTGTCAGCTTTTCATGTGGTCTGTGGTCGATTAAATTGTCCAGGAGCATAAGGCTTCGAAGATTCATTGCCAGAAGGCTGGCATCCCGTTTCGACCGCACAAGACGGCTGGGACGTGGCCTTCCAGGGGCCGTTCTGGAAAAGGTGGTCGGGGCTGTGGACAACGGCAGGAAGACTCCGAAGAAGCCGTGCCTCACCTGGACTTGGACTCTTTCATCGTCCGGGTTTCGGAGCAGACTGTTTCGAGTGAGAAGCAGGAAACAGATGCAACCAGTATATAATTCCGAGAACACCAAAGCACACTGCTGTTCTTCTGGGGTGCCTTCGTTTGAATGCGGCTATGACCCCCAACTCACCACTTCTGGATCCACGGATCTACTGCGAATTGGAATGAATCGGATATCCGTTGGGAGATCTCATTTGAACCTGTTTGAGGTATCTTTGAGAGGCCGTGGCCGTGGTCGAGGTTGAGAGCGAGCGGAGTGCTGAAACGTCTTAGCTGCCTTAGCTGCACACTCTGAAAGAGACCTGAAAGACCTGAAGCTGAGCCGTAAAAAGGTCAGGATTTTCTGGTCTAAATCTGCTGCAAATGCTTGCTGCCGAGTTCCGTTCGGAAAGCGTTGAGCGTATACGCCCGGAAGAAGTGAGTCAAGTCCTCGTCGAGCAAGTGAAAAAAAAACGATCCTACATCCTTTCGAATGGAGAGGTTGCAATGTTGTATACTTTTTTACAAGTAGTTGGGCAACCCGGGGGCGGAAGTTTCAAAAATGAAAGGCCTATAGAGCACAAAAAGAGTGTGCCTATAGGATGGCAATTTCTAGGGCTGTGGCGCTGTGCAGGAACAATCTTTTGACATCTCAGTCCTTTGACATCTCACCTCATGTCTTATCACCTCTTTTTCTCTTCTCAACTTTTTTCAGCTCATCTCATTTCATGTCTTCTCTCCTCTTCTCAGCTTTTTTCAGCTCCTCCCAGCTCTTCTCAGCTGATCTCAAGTGTTCTCATCTCGTGTCAGCTCTTCTTCTCTCTTCTCAGCTCATCTGAACCCTTCTCTGTTCAGCTCATCTCAACTCAGGTCGTCTCAGGGTTTTCCGAGCTCTTCTTACATCATCTCAGCTCATCTTAACTCACCTCAGCTCTTCTCTGGCCCAAAACCTGCTCCAAGGCTACAAAAAGTTGGATTTTGAAGCCTTTTTAAAAGCAAATTGAAAGGAACATGGAGAACGCCAAAAACAAGAAAACATGTCAAAAAATCATTGTCGCAAATTACACGGATACCCCAGGAATTCATATGGAGCGGATACCTTTAAAATTCATTTGGCTCGTGCAACATCTGCAAAGAAGATTGCGCGGATACCTTCAAATTCACTTGGATAGTGCAACCTCGACAAAGAGGATTGCACGAATACGCGAGGAATTCACATGCGACCTGCAACTCCAAACTTCCAATTAACAAGCACGAAGAGAAAAATATACGGATACCTACAGGAAATGCAATAACATTTCTGCACCGGTTGTTCGGCAGACCTTGCCCATCTTCAGAGGCACGTTTTGTATTCAAAACATCCGATTTCGAGCATCCTCTGCCTCTCAAAAACGCATTTGGTGCAAGAATAAGAAATCCTTCAAAAACTGAAAGCTCAAATTGTGAAAACGAAGCTCTCGCACAAGGCTTCCTTCAAAAACCGCCAGTCGAAATCATGCAAACAAAGTTGTCGCGCACGACTTCCTTCAAAAACCGCAAGTTTAAGTTGTAAGAGCGAAACTTTCGTGCGAGATTTCTTCAGTGTGAGACTTCGTTACTGTGAGGCTGTGAGGCTTCTTTGTTGTAAGACTTCTTTGCTGTGAGACTTCTTTGTTGTGAGACTTCGTTGCTGTGAGACTTCTTTGCTGTGAAATTCGTATGACGGAAGTATGGAATCTAAACTTCCTTTGATGAGATTTTATTGACGTTTCAACGCATCGAATCTAAGTATTGAGGGGTGATTGAAAACCTGCAGACATTGACTCACATTCTGCATTTTGTTTCCAGGGCTTGGTATCATTTTCGCATGAGCAACACATGAACTTTTCACGAAATCTTGTTTCGTCCTTGATCGTTGCGTGAGGCCCGGATAGATGTCGATCCAGACAACCAACGCGTTACCATCTCTGGAAAAGAGGACGCTGGCTGAGCTGGTGGGCAATTGGAGAGCATGTGGACCTGCAATGGCCAGCCAGAAATTCCTAATTACCCAATTTCAGACGTAATCCAATTAGGTGGGTATCAGTTCAATAGTCGAATTGGTTGGAAACATATCAGCAGTCACATTCACAAGTGTCCATACATTGTTTACATTGGTTGCATGTGGAAATGCAAGAGAGAAAATGTTGGAAACGGGTTCAGCTCACTAATGGCTGCTGACCTAGGACCACTTGCTCTCGGTTATTGTAATGATGTGCTGACTTGCACTGTGGATATTTGAATCTATAAAACTCGCGTTGTCACGTTTGCCTTTCACAGGATAGTGTAAGAGAAGCCAAAGCGCGTATCATGGAGATCCTTGGTTCCAGAGGCATCTTGACCGAAACCGGAAGTTATTTGACCCCTTTTTCGCATCGCCAGTACGGACCAACACATTCTCATGTGGAGCCGATATCCAATGTATGTTCCTGAAGGAGCTGTGTTAGCAGGTAGAAAAAAATGCTATTGCAACAGTTCGTGGCTTTTTTGTCGCTAGAGGCAGTTGTTATGTCGTTTGGATCCCGATCACCCCGACCCAAGGTGGTGGCTGGGGTGGTGGAGGTGCGCATGTGACGATATGTCGTGCATGGAGGAACCAAAAGAAGACGTCTGTAGCAAGTCTTTTTTCTTAATGTGTAGGCTAGGATGCTTGAATAACTTGTAACAATTCAACAAACCTGGAGGTTTCATTAATCTTTAAAGCTTTGCCCACTGAACCCGTGGCCAGATTTGCTAGGCGGTGGCTGGGGCGGAGGCCAGGAGCCTGGCACCAACTTCTCACACTCACACACACACACACACTGTGGGACTTGCTCAGAATTGTCATTGCGAATTTTGTTGTGGAGTGCATCTTACGTGCAAAAACAATCCAGTTATGTACACCTGACAGGAAGAGGTCGTTGAAAGGCCCCGAAAACCATTGAGAAGCTCTCATCGCCATAGCTAGTGTTGTTGCCATCGTCAATGAGGCGAACAAGCCAAATTTGTTGAGACATGCAGCTTGCGAAAACCGCACAGGCAACAAAGTTGACATCAGGTTGACATCCAAGTGTTTGACATGTAATTGAAAAACGGCAAGGTGGTTCTTGGGTTAGCCACTGCCCATTTCCGAAAATGAAGTGCAAATGAAATATGCATCCACCCCCTGCAAATTGAAATACAGCAACAACATCAAAAACAGAAAGCAGAGAGATAACTAGTTAGAAGTTTTACATCTTTCAGATGGTTCACGCACACACACACACGCATCACAGTTTTTGGAGACCGCACAAGCCTCGATTATTGCATACAGTGCATACTTATTTTATCTTATACTATCTGATCTGATCTGATCTTATCTAATCTAGTCTTTATCTAATCTAGTCTTTATCTAATCTAGTCTTTATCTAATCTAGTCTTTATCTAATCTAGTCTTTATCTAATCTAGTCTTTATCTAATCTAGTCTTTATCTAATCTATCTATCTATCTATCTATCTATCCATCCATCCATCCATCCATCCATCCATCCATCCACACACATACATACAAACATACATACATACATAGATAGATAGATAGATAGATACATAGATACATAGATACATAGATACATAGATACATAGATAGATACATACATACACACACTCATACATACATACATACATACATACATACATACATACATACATACATACATACATACATACATACATACATACATAGATACATAGATACATAGAAACATAGAAACATAGATACATATATACATATATACATATATACATAGATACACACACACATATATATATATATACATATATATATATATACATATTGCGAAAAACACACACACACACACTTATACACACACATAAACACATACATACATACATACAGACAGACAGTCAGTCAGTCAGCCAGGCAGGCAGGCAGGCAGCCAGCCAGACAGACACAGACAGACACAGACAGACACGGACATACAGGCATACAGACATACAGGCATACGGGCATACAGGCATACATACATACATACATACATACATACATACATACATACATACATACATACATACATACAAACAGACAAACAGACAGACAGACAGACAGACAGACATACAGACATACAGACATACAGAAATACAGACATACAGACATACAGACATACAGACATACAGACAGACAGACAGACAGACAGACATACAGACATACAGACATACAGACATACAGACATACAGACATACATACATACATACATGCATACTTACATACATACATATAGATATAGACATAGATGTATATACATACTAGACTGTAGGTTTTGTTGACAGCGAACTGGAGATTCGATTGCCAAAACAAAACATATTTTCGAACAGGGTGGAAGTTTGAACCCTCGAAACTGAGGCAAGGGTGACGATGGTGGTGGTTGGGGACGAGGACGAGGTACACAGCAACCAAGTACATGCTGGCGATCTTTTGATATTTGTCGTAACCAAATCGACTGGTAAAAAGAAGGCAAAACTCTCAGGTTTCTGTCCCTTAAAAAATATCACTTTGCTTTAGGTTCTCAAGGCTTGATTTGGAAGCACGTGAGCTGATCTGATTGGGTCCGGGGTTGGTGGAACCTCATTGAAGGTGAAGCTTACCCTGGATCCATGTGGCAGCACGAAGTCGGTATCAAGTTTTGACAATTTTTTCTACATGGTGGATAATGGCAGCCCTGCCAGAGCCATCTTTGCCCTTCAAATGGTCACTGGATTCGGCGATCGGTGATCCGTGTCACCCAAGGGTTGTCCAGTCAGCCGAGTCATCCGACCATCCTGTCAGGTCGTGGTGGTCGAGGAGGAGGCGGTGGAGGCGTGGAGACGATGGAGACGATGGAGAGGTAGTTTTTCTTGGGGAATCAGTATGAATTTATATATATATATATATAGTGAGTTCCTGAGATCCATTGGGTACATGAAGAGGGCTGAGTCAAAGTCCTCGCTCTGTGATCAATTTAAAGACTCGATTTGACATCCATCCTTGATATACCAAGACCTGTAAAGGTCGCAGTGTTCCACAAATTCCTTCATTTGAAAGTTTCGCTACGTGTGATCTTTTGTTTTTGAAGTCCTGCAACTCACCTGATCGAGACTTTGACCCTATCAAGTCGGGCTCAAGAAATTCAGCGTGCTCGTCTCTTTGAGTGAAGGCGAGAGCCCCAAAAAAGGCACACGCAACAGACGCAACAATGGCATCTTCGACCTTTGACCCGCAGCCCTATTGCATTCCGGGCGAGATCACTGTTCACGAGGTTGCGGGACTGGGGTCAGAAGTGGTGTGGAATTTTGATGGGGTGGGTCAGTCGATGGTATGCGCAGCACTTGACACCTGGTTCGGAGAAGATTGTCCTGCACACAAAACTTCAGGAACAACAATTTCTGTGCTGTTCGGTATGGTGGGTGCGACTAGCAGAGTATCAACCCAACCATGAAAACCAGAAGCGTTTCGGATCAAAATGAAGTGACATACCTTTTGGAAGTCCGGTTTACCCTCCGGCAATGAAACGTGGCAATCGAAGATCCCCCATTTATAGATTATTTTCCCATAAAAATCAGAACCTTCATTTATAAGGGATCTTCCATTGCCACGTTTGATTGCCGGAGGGTAAATCTTTGTAGTATCTCTGTGTTTATGTTGTTTATGCTTGTTTCAGGCTGCAGCAGACCCACAGCATTTGAGAGAGAGAGAGAGAGAGTGGTACAGGTGGTACATGTAATGGCCCTGCAGGTTCTGGATATGAAGAGAGCCTTTGACATGATCGATGAGGTGCGCTTTGGGAGGGGCTTGTGGAGTCTTGACCAGCAAGTGCACCTTGGGATCACGCTGTTTGACATCATCAAACCCAGGGCTATCGAGATATTTGCATAGTGTTCGCGTAAAGGGAGCATAGTCAGTATAGTCGTGTTCTGAGGCTTGAAGATCCCTGCTGCACATTTCCACACCATTTGCAGCCTGTTGTCAGCTGCTGCCATGCGAAAGGACAACAGCGGTGTGATCGATGCGGAGGAGTTGCAAGGTGCCCAATCCTGACATGAAGATACTATGGGGTGCCGGTGTCATTCCAACAGGATTGCTGCAAATGGCAACGAAGTAAACAAAACTAATCATGAACCAATCAATCAGATTTCATTAGATTTCAATCTATTTTATAGACTGGTGAATTTGGTGCTAGCAGCAGAAATTGTTTTCTTCCTGCGAGTATTGGAAGCCATGCTAGATATGCTAGGCAAGTCTGTGTTGCAGAGTCTGGAACATCAGAGCCAATGAACCAAAATCTTCCTACAAGTTTGCGGTGACTTGTGCACAGCAAGCTTCGTTCATGACGCAGGTGCAGCTGTGGCGCTGGGTATTCCTATGGAGGCCCTTCTTGGACCATTTCTGCCTAAGGGCAAGAAGTTGCATTTTTGAATGGCAAGCTCGAGCTTGAAATCTGACCATGATGTTCAGTTGGATTCACTGAAGCACCATCTTTTTTACATCCAGCTGTTAGCTGCTTGACCACTGACAAAGGGCTGATCGAGTTGTTTGAAGGCAGTCTTGAACCTGCAAGCAGATGAGTGCCTTCGCTCACATACCAACCCCTGCGAAGACTCAAGAACATTAAACAGAATTCCCACGCTGCCCATATCCCGAAGGACAACATTTCGGTACTTCTCGGAACTGACAAGATCAACTTTGATGAATTCTTCAAGAGCTCCGGGGAATGGGCACCAAGAGCATAGGATTTTTGCTGTGTTTGTGGTGGATACAATCCTATCAGCTTCGATGCTGACGTTTCTGTCATCGAGTGTCAAGAATACCCTCCACTGGAGGGCAAGCCCTTTTTGCAGCCTGTGCCCATTATGATCATTATGTGGTAGTATCAGGTGGGTCGAGCCTACTTGTTGATCCTTGGTCCAGATATCTTTTTTGCGTTCTTCCCAGGAGGATGACTGCGAAGCTCAGTCCCTCCGACAAGGTAGACGACATCATGGGCATTTTTGAACTCTTCGACAATGATGCAACAGGCAGCCAGTCGTGTGGATTTCAACCGCAAAAGCTCACTTCTTCCTGCATGAACGAAATGCAAATCAAGGGTGAGTTGAGTCCAATGTGTCACGCTGTCAAAAGTTCAACTCTCTGAAATCTTCATGCATCCGAAAGATTCCGAAAGGACTTTGTGACCTGCGCCTGATGTTCCCTTGATATATATATATATATGTATATTTCTTCAAAGCATGAGAGATTGCAATAGCCGGTTGTTAGCAAAGGCTCTATTTTTTTCAACAGATGCATACGGTTGCTATTTCATCACTCACTCAGAGAAAGTTTTCAAACTGCCAACACTCCTACTTCCTTTCCAGCTCCTGTGTTTTTTTTTGTGCAAATTGTCTTTAGCAATGAGAGTGAGGCACCATTTCATTTGAGAACATGCAGAACGTGGCGCGTATCATTGGTGCCAAGGAGTTCCTTGGTTGAAGCTGGCAGTGGAATCGTTGGGGTGCGAACATCAATCGTTTGGCAGATTTTTTTAAAGCACATCTGAAAAAAATCATGTTTGAGGTATATCCTCAACTTTGGTGTAGATGCAGCCAATAGATTGCCGAAGGATTCCATTCGCAAGACTTGAATCAAAGAAGTTCGTGCTATGTTAGTGTGTCGAGACATCGAACATAGCAAAAATTGAGGCCCATGTGAGATATTTTGCCATTATGATCATTATCAGTATTGTTTTTTCATGGCTAGAATCTTTCAAGAATAAATCGAACCATCCAAGGAGCCAATTCCATTTGTCACCAAGGTCGCCAAAAGAGATTCAAGAGATGCTCAGCACACTGGAGACTTGGCACTGTGGGTTGCAGGGGGCGAGATCCCATGTCCTTTGAGACCCTTTAAGTTCTCATACTTCACACTCCTTAGACTCAGACTCCTTAGACTCCTTAGACTCCTTAGACTCCTTAGACTCCTTAGACTCCTTAGACTCCTTAGACTCCTTAGACCTTTTAAAGACATGGCCAGGACACAGATGGTGACAATGAGCTGGATCCCATCGATTTCTACACCTGCCGGGGCCTCAGTCCACAGGGTTTGTGGCCGTTCAGATTGGATTGCGTCGATGCAAGGTGCCATTTCAGGGCCCACTGGTACTGCATTCTAACTGGTACCATGGTGTGTTCACACCAAGCTGCTCACTCACCTTCGAGATTGCAGACCGATGCGCTTCCACCATAGAGTCTATAGTAGAGGTATAAGTTGGAACTGAAGTTGGCACTGAAGTTGGAAACGAAGTTGGCTACGAACTCTGGTATATACGGTATAAGTTCTAATTGGAGATAAGGGATGCAGCTGTGGCACTGTGGCAGGCCTGGTGAATGGCATGCGCATCCGCATGGAGGAGGAGGATCGGCTACAGCGGCAGCAAGCTGATTCCATGAGGCAGGGCTCTGTGCGACGCCCCGTCGGCAGGGAGTGGGTCTTGTGTGAGTCGTGTTCTGTGGTTTGCTACAAGGACTAATAGTTGTATGATGTTGTATGGATATTAAAACAAAGAATGCGTATATACCATGATATAAGATGATATAAGATATAAGTTGTAAGATGAATTAAGAGAATACACCGCTAGGTTGGGTGGTATCTATTCTTTTGTACTTCATGTGACCTTCCAAGATTGGATCATCAGGCCATTGCCCCAGTAGACGGAGGGTATAAAGGTAGATGATAAATCATAGCTGAATTAACCCCTACCCCCAAAGTTCGTACCCCCAGATCTAAATGGAAAACCATGGGTTTTGTGCGCAAATCTGTGTTGACCATGTTTGAGTAAATAAGCACTATTAATGTTTGGAAAGCTTGGATAAGCATTGGTAAGGCTTAATAACCCTTGCTAAAAGAGGACAGGTTTTTTGAAAAAAGTGCAAAACGGATTGGTCCTTATTTTCCCCTTGGCAAGGCCTACGTAAGGATTATTTCTTTTGCGCGCTTTTTTGTGGAGATGGAAATCTCTTATTAAGAGAGTTGTGGTCGTGTATGTGTTGCAACCACCCAAAGATGGAAATTTGTGCCACGAGCGACTGGAGGCCGCCTTTTGTTGTAAAGGATGTCAAATGCAGTGCTTAACGTGAGTAGTTTTTGAGCTTTGTGAATGCCCATGGGAAAAGATGTACAGATTCAGTAAAGAGAACCTGTGGTAAGTGCACTTTGGAGTAAGGGGTATTAAGCCTTATCAAGCCTTATTAAGAACCAATCCGTTTGGCACTATGTTCAAAAAAAATTGTCCTGTTGTAGTAAAGGGTATTAATCCTTATCAAGGCTTCCCAAGAGCAATGCCTTTTGCTGATGATCGAGAACCCCATATCATTTGGGTTTGGGCCATTTGCCTTTTTGGAAGTTTGATCCATTTGAAGTCTTGCTAGCGCCCACAGGCTCATTCATGGAACCTTTATTATATTAAACAAACATCCCTTTCCCAGAGTAAACCTTCTCAGTTTTGACAAGGTTGGAAAACATAGGGTCATTACAGGATCAGTTTTCCATTTAGATCTGGGGGTACGAACTTTGGGGGTAGGGGTTAATTCAGCCATGAATAAATAGATAAGATTAGATAAGTAGATAATTAAACATATATAATCATGACCGACTACATAGAGTATGTACTTTTTCAACCTTTCGGGTGTGGACAGGAAAAACACTTAGAAAATTTGGGGTAGAAATGTTTGGGGTAGAATTTTGAAGTGCATAAACAAGGCCAAAGCACATAACATAGGAATAACGATATTTCCATATCGAAAACATGTGTGAAACCCACCAAATTGGACATTTTTTGGGTTTTGGGTAACTTCTGGATCAGGATTGAGGAAAGAAATGGGTTTCCCAAATTGACCAGTTTTTGACTACACTTTACATTAAAAGAATGCAGTTTGAAGTTCACAAAAGGTTCCCCCCCACGACTTGCCAAATTTCAGTCAATCATTGTATTGACATGTATTGACAAATGTATGATGTTCATCCATATTCAATGTATGGGTTTCTGCAGCTGATAGCTGATGGCAACCCAAACAAAGAAAAGGAAAGAACGCCAGCGGGCACCTGCAAAAGAACAATACGTCAATAACTTTTGGACCAGGATTATGCACACACAGGGGACTTACCATTTGAGCAGTTTCTATCTTAGTGTAGTGTTGTGTTAAAACTGGTAAAACATGGCAAACCACATGTTGTTCTCAACCTGGGATAAGCTTTGATATTTCCATCTCAGGTTCGCATCCCATGTAGACAAGCAATGTTGTAAAGAAATATTCAGATTGCAACTACGCCTATTTACGAAATGGTGGTGGCAATATTTATGTCAAAAACCTGAGAACAACATATTTTTCCGGATCAGAATGAATAGGCTGAAATATTCTATGTATATATATATATTCTTACTGATTCCGGAAGATGCTTTTTGAGGCTGATATTAGCGATTCTATATTCTATGTATCCCGCCATGATTATATATATATATATATGTATATGTGTATATATATATATGTATGTATATGGATGTATGTGTATATATAGACATATTACATATACATATACATGTATGCATATATATATATACATACATATATATATATACATATATATATACACATATATATATATATGTATCTAAGGTAGAGCATTGAAAGGGTGACAAAGGGGTTTGCCAATTTGCTGACGTAGCCAGGGCACAGTCACAAGAAGATTCCTTTCGGGCGATTTGGCACTTGTTTTGGGATTTTCCTGACCAATGTGTGAAGTGTGAAATGGACTTTTCCTTGCTAGAATGTTTCCTCTGCAACGCATTTATTTGTTTAGACAGGTTTAGATGATTGCTGTTGAAAATGCTTCCGGAAACGAAGGTCTTCAGGTTTCAGCCATGGCTGCACGCTTCCCAGGGAGCACATGGAGACTATGGCACGTTCTGGACAGTCTCAACGCAATATGTCTGCCATGTCTATGGGCAAGTGATCCCCGCGTTACATGAGCCTTCTGGGGCTGTGGTTCGGTTGCGTGGAATGACCTAACACAAGGGGTGTGGAAGATTTGTTGCCGTGAAAGCAAGACAGACAATTTGTTTATTCATGTGCTGATTTGGCTGCACATATTCCACACAGTCGAAGAATTTGCTACTTCGAAAGGTTTTGTCAGCAAGAAAGCTGCAGTTTCAAGCTGCCGAAGGCTTTTTTGACTGCGCTTGCTACTGTAGGAGTCATTGTTTCCTCTCCTAAGAACAAACCAATGTCACATCTCAATCACACCCTGTGGTTATTTGGGATTGATTCATGAAACTGTACTGTACGTGCAGGGTGCCTATCACATCCTATCACTAGCTGTTTGATCTCTGCTTTGGTTGGATTTTTGCTCGGTTTCACCAGTTGCCCTGGTCGCGCGTGGTGCACTGGCCACCATGGGCTGCAGATGGCCATTCCTGCGTGGACGGAGCTTGGCCCTGGGAAGACGTGGGCGTGGATATCTCCTTGGAAGTATATAATCCCTGCTTTTCCCCATCTTCCATGATCTTCCCGTTTATAGTTCAAGATCATCAGACCATGCAGCAATGCATGTCAATTGTCAATGACAAACAAGGACCACACTTCTGGTGTCAACTAGGACAAGAACTACGAAAAGCTGCCTGAACAACAAACAAGTTCTAAGTAGCAAACCTATGGAGAGCATAAGGGCAACAACAGGCAGCTTTCATGATAGCTCAGCTTCCATGACGACTTTGTAGAGCTTCACAAAGACATGGAAGAGGTTAGATTCGGTTAGATCAAGGCACATCCATCAGAACTCATCAAAAGCGAAGCCACGAATTCCCAAAGATAATTTGCACTACTGTCTACTGAGAGTCCAAGAGTTGAAAAGGGTGTTCGAAGCCACATTTTCACCCTGTTATGCAATCCACTAACAGATTATCTTGCTTTCAGTGATGCCTGACAAAGGACTCCGCTAGCCTTGTAAGAATTGGCCAAAACCGGCCAAAGAAAACGGTTTGCACGAACGCGCTAAATAGCTGCTTGCTAATGATGCAGGTGTTCGGTCCACACGACCTGATGGAATCTGAACAGTTTTCACTGAATTCATGCAGCAGATTCTGTTCAACTGTGGAGAGGTGTTGCTGCATTGTCCATTTCAAGTGCGTATGTAACTGTAGATTCTTCAATATGAGAGCGTGAGCCCTTGTAGGGGGCACATGGAGAGTCATATCAATAAATAACATGCAGGTCAAGGTCAATCTGCTGGTTCTTGGACTAAACTTCCAGAACTTTTTTTTTTTGCGAATTCCATGATGCACTGCGACCACCGGTTTACTCATCCACTCACTGTATTGGACAAAAGCACCGCAATGTCATGCAATGTCCATCTTGACTTGGGATCAGTCTCCCCAGATCTCCCCAGATCTCCCTAGTCTTAGTCCGAATTCCTTTCGCACGGAGAGTTCAGGTTGGAAAGGCGACGGAGGCTGGCACCCAACGATGCAAAATGATTTGAACCACCCAAGCGCTTCAGCACACAGGGAAGATCTCCAGTGCCATTTCAACAGATGTGGAACATTTTCCCGGTGGAACCCGTATACAGCAGAAAGAATAGGTAGAAGTGTCATAGTCAAGCAATCTCTCCCCAGCCCAATAAATTGCGCCTGCAAAACTCTCCATGCAGCTTGGGTCAGGCAGAGATGGCAGAGATGGAGATGAACCAGGAGCGGTCTGAGATGTGAAGGGATATCAGGCTGATATCAGGAGGGACTTTTGAAACTATTCAACTCGTTCACCTTCAGAAGGACCTGAATCTGGCAAATCAGTTGTAAATCAGTTCCATGCGTCCTGCACGTTTTCATCAAAGCTTGCTGTTTGCAAATCATCAGAAGTTGAGAAGTTGGCCTATCAGCCATGGTGAACGCACATTCAGCTTTCCACATCGAAACAGGTGGAGCTCATGGAGGTGGTTTTGAGCCGGCCCATATTCCTGGTGCAGGTGGGGCGTACCATGGAAGGCATTGGCCCACCATGGCCAAGCAACTGTAGTTTTACAGAAGCATTTTAAAGTATTCTTGGTTGATTTGCACATCAGGGAATGAGTAGGTGGAGTCAGTGCAGCCAAAGACATCTTCCAAATTGCATTTGATTCTGCGTCCAAGACTTCTCTCTGAGCATATGTGTTGTTGATTGAATGTTATTGATTCTTGATTGAATTTGTCATGGCCAAGAAGAGAGTGGCGTACTTCAGAAGTTCTCACCTGGACCTCGGCAGTGATCACCTTCGTAAAACCGATGCACAAGACACCGCGGATGCCGATAAAGTTTTCCGATAAAGCCTTATATTCATTTAATTTATTCTAATATACCGTTCTGATTAATCAACATGAAGAACATTTGAACATCTCGAAAGAACGCTTTTCGAAACAAAGGGAATGCAGCAACTAATTGCTTCATCAACCAAGACCGTTTTGTGTCTCGCTCAACCCAATGAACAAACAACTTGCATGAGGGTCCACACAATACACCCAATCCTCCGTAGATCCAAGTTTTGGACTGCTCCTGAAGCATTTAGCATAAGTGCAAAGACTGTCATTTGGTGCTAATTCCTAGGACATTTACTTTATGTTGCTTGATGGACTCACAGATACTCGCAGTCTGTTTTTTTTTGGCTTGGTAAGCCATCGCCAGGCCCTGTTGAACCAGAGCCTCCGAAGCGCGCCCGTGGCAGGCTCCGGAGATTTCTCCACAGTCAATTTGTTTCAGCCAATCTTTTCGATCTTTCAGATTTTCTTGCGAGGCTTTGCTTATTGGAGTGGTTTCAATCCTGTTTGGGTCATTGCGATCAATATCTAATTTGCCACTTTTGCCTCAAGATTGGATGAATCGATGCTTCGGGGAATGTTCATTCCGCGCCACTTATCTCATTTGCCTGATTTGGTCATTTGGGAATTGTCTTTTGCAGTCTTGATCCCTCCTGCTCCTGCAAGTCTGTTGAGTGGGAATTGGGCCGAAAGTTTTGGGGGTATCCATTCTCAAAATCAATGGTAAAATGGTGAAGAATATGGTAAAAACCATTGTTTTTACAAACTCCTCAAAATTTTCATTATTTAAACAGATCTTGACCTCCGCGGGTGACACGAAAGCTAATCACACCAGATGGGAATCAAGTTCAGCGGCTTGATGGATTTCCATGAGAAAGCGGGGTTGGTTCTTCTTTTCCGAACATAGTACATGGTCCTGCATTAAAGGTTGCTGGTAAGCTAATTGGGCCGGCCATTTTCATATATTTCCATGAGTTTTAGGTTACAGGTGATGCTGCACCGGTGGTGTTGGTTTGGTGTGTTATCATGAACTTAAAACTGATGATGGAGTCGATGCTATGCTGCAGATTGGACGGCGCAGGGTGGGTGATGGAGTGGAGTGGTGTTGAAACTGACTTGAAGGTAAAGATGCGTCATGGGAAAGAGTTCTACCAGTATTGAGACTTTGGTGAGATGCGCAGAAAATCTGAGAAAGTTGCCGAGAAAGCTGGTGTGCAAAATCTGGACAGCCAGCTGTTGGGTTTGCCAGCGGCGGGCTTAAAGCAGTTTGCTTCACAGAATCTCCACCAAACCCTGTCATTGTATTCGAATGAGCACATGTTTCGCAAGAACGTGCTACAATACATGTGGCGAGCCAACTTGAAAAAACCGTGAAAGGTCCCTCAGATGTCTGACGGCACTGACAAATTACAACATATTACAACTGTATTAAAAAAATCCGCTGCCGAAAAATTGCCCTTGAAAGCACCTTGCTGCCTGCCAACAAAATTGCCCCAAAAAAGTGCTCAGGCACCGTACATGGCCTTGACCTCGTTTCACAGACTTTTCTCTTGGAGCTAACGACGTTATTGGAGGATGGGTACTAACAAGGACGCCGTTGCACTCTGTGACAACAGCTTTCAGATGCTACTCGTCCACAGATGATCCTTTCCTTTTCATCTGTTTTCAAATCTGTTTTTGCAATCTTTGCAACACAAATCTGTCCGCTCCGATCTTTCGACAAGTTCCAAGCCAATAGGTTATCCAGAAAACTGTGCCAGGGGTGCAAGTCGCTGGTGAGAGGAGGTGTGCAATGTTGGGACACAGTGCTGGTGTATGAGACATAGTCACGCAAGTGATGTTTGCAAATCACAGGTCCCACCCACAGGTACTGGGAAGCAGTTCCGACTACTGTGATTCATGTACTGTGATTCATGAGCCATTCATGAGAGTCCTCTCTTTCGCCAGGTTGATGGGATGCCAGATATCCTGTTTGTTAGTGCCAGACCCATCCCCAATGCATTGGTTTCAGAGCGGAAGATCCCTAGCTTTGTCAAACCTCTGAAAGCAGAAACAAAATGAAAAAGAAATAGAAATGATATGAAATTGAAATAATAGAATCACCGTTCAGAACCTGTACATCCTGGAGACAGTTGTCATGAGCACTGCCGTGTGCCAGGCAGAGACCGTTGATCCTCAAAGCCAAGAGAGAAAATGCCTATTGGCCTATTGGCATATTGAGTCGTTGTTGGATTCAGGGGTGAAGTTTGGAACGAAATAGAAGGAGGCACGTGAAAGTAAAGTAGAACGTGTTGAATTATCTGGCTGAATGCAGCGTCGTTTGGATATTCTTATTCTCTTCTGTCTTGCCTTGGGATCACTTTCATGCTGAGTGAGTTTATTGTGGGATTCAAAAGCGGCACCAAGAATATACATATACAGGAGCTGTGGTGGGCACCAGCCGTGAGTTCCTCCTCCAGTTCTGGGCTCTAAATTCAATTTCAGGTCTTTATATAATACTTTACATTAAACCCATTTCATTAGTAATACTGAATACATCTTAATACACAATAGGCTTTATAGTGTAGAGAAAGGTAGAGAAATAAGCATTTGCATGGCCAGTTTTTTGATCATGTGGGTGTCGCACCAGGAAGGCCATGCTTCCACAGTTTGGGTGGGACGAGTCAGTTGAGTCACAGAAGTGGCAAGGACCTAAGCAATTGAGTCGAAATGAGTTGCACCTAGTTAACGTGATTTACTAATGATTCATAGTTTAAAGATCTTAACAGTTGTCAACAAGTAAACTTGTTGTGATTGCTCTGTGCTTGCTTCGCGCCTCTCTTGATGGCTCAAAGCCGGAGGGCCGAGGGGGTGAAGGAACGCCTCCCAAACTCCGTGGTGCTCGGGACTGCAGCCACTGACAAGTGCACGGGTGGACAGCAGTAGAACAGGAGTAGACGTACCTTAGTTAGTTTAGAAAAGTGTGTTTCCTGGTGACGGGAACTTTTGATATCCGCAGTAAAAACGTTCCCAGACCATACTAACTGTATGAATGTTGATGTTGCATTTCATTCAAACAAGATTTGCTGATCTTGAGATCACAAACAATCACACCAATCCACCCTAGCATTCTTTAATTGGGTGGTGGCACTGCACTGGCACCGACCCAAAGTGCTTGCTTCTCTGCGACACCACATAGGTTTCCTGACCACCATTGTGTAAAATGGAAACTGAACTGGCATGATAAACAACTTCAAGAGACATCAAGTCTCACATTGTGATATAGGCGATATCGGACTTCAGTCGCTGGGCTTCAAAGAAACTAAAACAGTCTTTGTGACCACCGAATCATTCCCTGACCTCCAGTTCCTCATTTTCTGTCCTGATAGTTTGTGTCCTGACAGCTCCCATTGCTCCTTAGGACAATGAAGTGGACGGCAGTCGCAGTAGCTCTAGTGCCTTTCTCAGTGATGCAAGGCTTCATTGGCTTCAAGAGTCACCATGCGCTTGGGGACACAATGGATGCATGGATACACTGCACATCCCTGCACATCACTGCTCATCACTGCACACATTGCACTGGCAGCTAGAGCGAAAAATCCACGGGAGAAATCGCTCACGTGTTCTAGGCAAGACTGCAATGTTGTGTCGTCCATCGAGAATGGAATGGTATACCCGGCGAACTCTCCGTACAGCCGGCAGTAGAAGCTGCTTATTGAGACATGAAGGCCAAGTGAGACATCCTAGTGTCACTGATGTCATGTTATTTCAGGTACTGTTGATACCAGAAGTGGGCTCATAGAAGTTTGATCCTTTTGGAAAACCGGGACCATTATGGAACATCAGCATCTTCTTCTGCTTCCGAGTTTCCAAGCCTAAGGTGTGTATCGTGGAAGGCAACCGACTGAAGACAGCCTGGCCCTTGGTCCCGGGCATCCCTTGGCTATAAAAGGTACCATTGATTCACGTCGCAACTCGTTTGGTGGCGGCTGCTGCGGCTCAAGGTACGACCCTCACCATGGGCTGAGTCCAGCGGTCCTTTGGTGAAGGCGGACCTGGCGAGATGATCAATGAAGGTCCTTCCTTCACTAGAGAAGGTTGTCTAAGATACATGAATTGAACACATATGATTATATTTATAAAGTTATCGAAGGAAGTTTAGAAGTGAAACTTCTGACAATATGAACAGGTGGAAAAGCAGATGGGAAGAGTCAGAGAAGAGAAGAGTTCAAGAAGAGAGAAGATCAGAGAAGAGAAAGAGTCAGAAGAAAGAAGATGCAGGTGCGCGAAAAGGTAGGAAAGTCGCGATTCACTGTGTTTTTCCAATGATTCGTGGCTCCGGAGGGTCAAAAAGTAGGCTCGCCAAAGCGGCGGGTGCGGAGCCATCTGGCAAGATGAGAGATGAAAAATTGCATGCCGTTGTGGCGCGAAGCACGAAGTCAAGCTTCGGAGCACTTTTACAAGTTGAGATGTTGAAAAAGTGCACGCAGCTGTGGCGCGAAGAACATTTGGAAGTCAAGATGTACAACACACACACACCATGTTCGGACCACTTTTAGAAGTTGAGATGTGGAAAAGTGCACGCCGTTGTGGCGCGAAGCAAATTTCCAAGTCAAAATGCACAAAATGCACCATGCTCGGAGCACTTTTGGAAGTTGAGATGTCGAAAAAGTGCACGCCGTTGTGGCGCGAAGCACATTTCCAAGTCAAAATGTACAAAGCACACCAGCTTCGAAGCGCTTTTGGAAGTTGAGATGTCGAAAAAGTGCACGCTGTTGTGGCGCGAAGCACATTTCCAAGTCAAAATGTAAAAAGCACCACGTGCTCGGACCACTTTTGAAGGGGCAGATGTGGTTTCGCGTGGCAGGCGCAAGGGATTCTGCACCTTGCCAAAAGTGAGCAAAACGTGAGGATTTTGTGGCATTTGCAAAAATGATGGCAGGCGTGGGGCATTTGCAGAGGATCTGCAAAGAGCATTTCGTGTGGCAGGCGCAGTACAAGAGACATGTTCATCATAGATGTTAGGAGGTCACGGCGCTGATTTCCTGAGACGGGTTACATTTTGGAGCATCAGACGACTACAACTTCAACTACACTTCAACTTCAACTGCAACTACATCTACAGCTACAACCACAACTACAACTGCAATTACAAATGCAACTACAACTACAACAACTACTACAGCCACACCACAACTGCAACTACAACTGCAACTACAGCTACAACTTCAACTACACTGCAACTACACAACAACCAGAACTACAACTACAACTACGCTACAACTACAACTACCACTATACTACACTACATAACAACTACAGCTACGGCTACACCTACTACTGCAACTGCGACATTACAACTACATCGTTACAACATGCTACAACTACAACGTGACAACTACAACAGCACCAGCTACCACTACACTACAACTACAACTACAGCTACAGCTACAACTACACTACAGCAATAACAATTACCACTACACTATAGCACAGCTACAACTACAGCTGCAGCTACAACTACAACTCCTACAACCACTACAACTCCTGCAGCTACTACAACTACTACAATTGCTACAACTACAGCATCAGCTACACTCAACTACAGTAAACTACAGCTACAACCACAACTACAACTACAACTGCAACGTTGCAACTTCAACAGCATCAACTACACTACAACTACAACTACAACTACAACTACAATTACATTGCACTTCGCTACATCACACTACATCCTGCAGTTGTGGGTGAGGTGACCGCTGCAACTTCAAAAATCACAACCACCTTTCGGTCCATCAGTGGATTCGCTCTGCCATCCATGCATCGCAACAACTTACCTCTCCTATAGTTTCCTATTTTTGAAACTTCCGCCACCGCCTTGTGCGGTACTATGTGCTGGTATATTTTGTATGCACATATCATATGTTATTATGAAGGACCACCCCGTCTAAGTGATCCTAAACTTGAAGACGGATTATTTTCACTTGAAGTTTCCTATGAACGTGGAAGACTTCATTGGGCAATGCACCATCCAACTCACATAGTGTTCCATCACTCCATCATTTCTCCCAGGGCATTTGGAAAGACTCGTGAGGGCTCTCAGTTTCAGCGACATGGAATGAAACCAATGGGTCTAAGAAGTACCAAGGAAGAATGTTTGACAACAGAACGCTACCTAGTTCAATGGAGTGAATTGAGGGAATCCTCCAACTGCTTACTGGCCTGAAAACTTACCTTGCATAAAACAGCATGCTAAGTATGCAATGATTTTATTTGTGTCTCGAAACTCGGAAGGAGGCAGCCACAACCTGCTGGTTCCAGCAACTGGTTGGATTCACAAAGACTAAGTGGGCATCATGATTTCACAAACATGATTTAAATTGTGATGCTTATACGTCTACTGCGATGCCAGTTCACGAGAGGGTGCAATTTTTTCTACCCTGAATATTTTGGCAGAACACTTTGCTAGAGTTGTAAAGTGACTTTGATTGACCATGAAAGACCTGTAAAGGACACGAATGTGACTGTCACGCTTTGAGGCAAGCAGGTAATGGCACAGCCGGAAACGCATGTAGCCCAAAGCTGGAAACCCAGATGCCACGCCTCGAGATTCTGTGCATTGGAAGTCTCCGGCTCTCCGACTATTGTGGCTGAAAAATAAGGAGTTTACAATTTACAAAACGGATTGGATCGCTCTTCCAGTAAGAGATGCGTTGGTTGGCTCGTGGTATTGACCCATCCATATGTCTCTACATGTATGTGTGCGTAGTATATATATATATACGTCGTATGGCACAGGGGTTGCCGGGGTTACCATAAATATTTCTATATGTTGCTGCGGGCGCTGAACATGCAGACGCACAATATACATATAAATACAGATATATACATATAAATACAGATATATACATATAAATACAGATATATACATATAAATACAGATATATATATATATATATATACACATAGTAGACTATAGACTCTATAGAGTATGAGCAGAGGTATGCACATGTTCATACTTTCCCAATTATTTTTGAGGTAGTTCTAAGACTCACTAGGCTGCCAGAGCAGTTGTGGACCTGGAAGAAGCCATAATCATGATGAGCATTTTTCAGAGTCATCATTTGTCTGAATGTTTGACATTCAACATCATGACCTTCCAAAGTGTTGCATGAGCTACTCTTTGTGCATTTCTTTTGAAGGCCATCGCCTGCTTCATGTTGACGTTTGCTGATCTTGCTGTCCACAGGTGCCTTTGGAAATGTCTTGGCACGGCGAGCTGTCAGGAGGCGGGCCACAGCCACAGATTTTAGTGCGAATTCAACTTTCAATTGAAGATATTGAAGTTCAAGAACAAGCGAGGAATTCCTGTGGCATCTGAGGTGTGTGAGCCTGTCTGTGCACCTCCAAAGTGTCAGACAAGCTGCCGACCAGTCAATCCTGGCAAGTGTGTGCAGGCGTGGCTTCATCTCCCTGTGACGCTCTTCAAAAGAAGTTGTGCAGCAACGAATCACGAATCGCCACTGAATTCTGTCATGCTGTTTGCCAATTTCGAGCGCTGCCGACAGAAATGCGAAGCCCCGCGTTGTGCGGTGATCTGTCACAATCTTAGAGCGCGAGGACGAAACGGCACGGTAGAACAGCCTCTGAAAGTGGGACTCTGTGCCTGTTGGAGTAAACATCTCGAAGGAAGTGTGGTTGAGAAGCAAACTAGGTGCCCAGTTCTATCCACTCAACTAGTTTCTCATGTCAGAAGTGAGATTGCAAAAGGTGCCATGCAGCTTTTTCCTTCCACTTCTCTAAAATCTGGATGTGGCAGCACCAGGCCCGGAGAAGCACTGCGAGAACGGTGAGAATTGTGGGCAGTGCAAGACAGCGCGGGTGCCCAGCGGAATAAACTGTCATTCAGATAGCAGGAAGAGTCTTTACACAACTCCATGCCAATTTTTTGCACTACGTCAAATGTCAAATGCTAAGCCAGTGGACCAGGCAAGCGCCAAATCATATGCACCAGCTATGTGCGGACTATTAACAATAAATTGTCGACATTTCGCAAGTGGCTTGGATCGATGCAGGGAAGGAGACTGGACTGATCCCACCCCAAGCCACCTCTGGAAGTCAAGCTGCACCAGGTTTGTGGAGAGCCAGTCTGTCATGTGGACTGCCAGCAGGAGGGATCCGCTCCGCATTGTTTTTTGTTCGAGTTGAAAAAAATATTTCCAGAACAGCAGGTGGATGGCTGGTCCCGAAGCCTCTATGCCAATGCAGATGTTTGACTGAAAGCACAACAGCGCGAAGACACGCACACACAAACATTGGGGCCACTGTCCTCAAAAAAAGCTCTCTGGCGCAAATCCCCATCTTCACGGTCTCCCGATCAAACTGAGATGAGTTCGTTTCAGAAAGCCCTCGAAAACTCCGTGCCCAGGATTGCCAAACCGACTGTGCTGATCCAATGTGCGAGTGGAAGCAGCTCGTCAAAGCAACCATGAGAATTTGTTGCTGCCCGGTGGTAATGCACAGATGGTTTATTTTTGGAGTATTTTTAACGGTTGCCCAGGTGCAAGCCAACGGAGCAATGCCCACAGCCGAAATGTGAGCTGCGCTGTGGTATGCCACCGGACAGGGGTTCCGACGTGGTTTGCCAGAAAAATGCAGGCTAAATTATTTGCAGCCATGTCGTGTCACCTGTCACGGAGAAAGTTTGCTACATTCTACCTTGCAATACATGCTACGTGATGGTAGAATATGGTAGATGTAGGGACGATGGAAAGCGCAATGCAATCATTTCCTAGGATATCCAGGATGCTGTATTTGCAAATAAGATTGATACCAGCTTGCTCTGCCCCATGATTTGCTCCCCAATCTTTTCTCTTGGAAACTGAAGTACCCACCTTTACTGCCACGTGAATATAACATAATAAAACATAATAAAACATGTTTTTCCCGAACGCGTAGCGAAGGGTTCTCATTTTACTTTGGGGGTCTGGGGGTTGGGACGTGTTTGCTCGACGCCGATTTCACGCCCGCAACCATTCGCAACCGTTTGCAACCGTTCGCAACCGTTCACAACCGTCCGCAACCGTTCGCAACCGTCCGCAATGAGGTTGCTATGGCTGTGCCTCTGGGGAGACCTGCAAAAGTGGTCCTTTTGGAGGTTTCAAACGTTGCGTGACCTCGTTTTGCGTGGCAGGCGTGGCACTTCGTGACATTCCAACACGTTTCATAACGTGTCAAAAGTTGTTCTGTGTGACAGGCGCAATACTTTTGCATCGCTTTCAGAAGATGACTTCCTTTTTGAGTGGCAGGCGCAGCACTTTGGAGACCTCCATCGTCATTTTGCGTGGCAGGCGCAGCGCTTCAGACGTGTCGTGTTACGTGTTTTTTTGCGAATCGCCATGTCAGGGCTGCGTCAAGTGGTGACAACGTGCAATTTCCGTGGCAGGCGTGGGGCATCGTGAGTGTTATTTTTTCGTGGCAGGCGCAGCATTTGGTGCAGATCCGTCGTGTGTGGAATGTCATTTTGAGTGGCTGGCGCGGTATTTGAGACACCCTCTCTACACTCTACACTTTACACTTTACACTCGACACTCTACACTTTACAGTTTACACTCCACACTGTACACTTTACACTCCACACTTTACACTTTACACTCCACACTCTACACTTTACAGTTTGCACTCCACACTGTACACTTTACAGTTTGCACTCCACACTGTACACTTTACACTCCACACTCTACACTTTACACTTTACACTCCACACTCTACACTTTACACTCCACACTCTACAGTGTACACTCCACACTGTACACTTTACACTTTACACTCCACACTCTACACTTTAGACTCCACACTCTATACTGTACTTTTTAGAATGTACTTTTTACTCTCTACCTTTTACACTGTACTTTATAAACTTTACCTTTTACCCTCTACCCTTTACACTTTAATACACTTTGCACTTTTTACTCCGCACTCTACACTTTATACTTTACACTCCACACTCTACACTTTACAGTTTGCACTCCACACTGTACACTTTACACTCCACACTCTACACTTTACACTTTACACTCCACACTCTACACTTTACACTCCACACTCTACACTTTACACTCCACACTCTACACTTTACAGTGTACACTCCACACTGTACACTTTACACTTTACACTCCACACTCTACACTTTAGACTCCAAACTCTACACTGTTCTTTTTACACTGTACTTTTTACTCTCTACCTTTTACACTGTACTTTATACACTGTACCTTTTACCCTTTACCCTTTACGCTTTAATACACTTTGCACTTTTTACTCCGCACTCTACACTTTACGCTTTACACTCCACACTCCACACTTGACAACCTACACTTTACACTTTGCACCCCACACTCTACACTCTACACTTTACACTCCACACTCCACTCTTTACACTCTGCACTTTACACTTTACACTCCACACTCGACAGTTTACGCTTTAACTCCACACTATACAATTGACACTGCGCTTTACACTTTGCACTTGACACTCCACACTCATCCACACTCTACACTTTACACTCCACACTCTACAATTTACACTACACGCTCAACACTCTGCACTTTGCATTCCACACTCCACTCTTTACACTTTACACTTTACACTCGGCGCTCTACACTCGACACTTTACACACTTTGCACTTGACACTCTACACTTTACACTTTACACTCGACACTTCACACCCCACAATCCCCACTTCATACCCTACACACTACATTCGCCGCTCAACACTTGACTGTCTTCACACTCCACACTCTGCACTCGACTCCATTCCACACTCCACAGTCTACACTGGTACAGTCACAGGGTAAACATGTACAAAACGGTTGAAACAACTTGTTTCAAAACAGTGTTTTACGTGAGTGCATTCGGGTTCGTTGGTTGCTCTTGTTTTTTTGGTTTTCATGGCTATGTGGCTATTTGATAATTGTGATAGCTGTAGCAATGAATTCCGGGTGATGAAGTCACACCGCCTTTTGGATCCTGAATGTCGTTTGCAGGACTGCCAGTCCCACGCCGGGGCATGGCAAGGCGAAGGTGTGCTGAAGGTGCAGCTAGAACGGGGACAACGGGTTGTGTTCCACAGACATTAGCTCATTAGATCAGTTGTTGTGGTGGCCACGCCTGCTTCTCCAACATAAGATTCGTTTAGTGGCAGAGTGGAAGGCAACAGGTTTTAAAATTCATCATCTTGGACTCATGCAAAAAAATTGGTTTGGCTGGATTGGAGAACAGTAACATTGAACCAATGCTATCTAGGGGATAGCGAGCGGCATTTTGCAGCAACAAATCCTAAGACGCCTTTCCCCAGCTAGGTGGCACAGGCGGCGATTCTTTCCATAATATGCTTCCGAGCTAGCGAATCTGAATTGCTGGAGTGGTCAATCCCAGGGCCCTCATTTTTTGCCTATTCAAAACAAAGTCTATTCCAGAGTGGAAATTGCGCCCTCCAGCAGGTTCCAGTGGGTGCCACTGTGGTGGCCAGAGGAACATCTGGGTAGGGTGATGGAAACCAAATCTCCAGATGGATTAGTTGCATGACTTGTGGGAAATCTTTAGGTCAGCTTATATAACCATCTTCTGTGATTCTGGCACAGGGGTTTTAAGTGCCAGCACTTGGACTTCCAGAAAACTTTCCGAACACACGGTCAGAAGTGTAATTGAAACACAACCACGTTTTCATTTAGAATCAAAGGGTTCGTTGAGATGGAAGTGAAATGTAGATGATCAAACTTGGCCAAATCTAGCCTTGAAAATCCTTGAAATTACTTCATATTATGAAATCATATCTTAAGCCTTGCACGCTTTACTTTCCAGCAGTACTGTCGCGTTCATAATTGCAGTCTGTGGTGATGCTGGAATCCTGGGCCGGGTCTCAGGACTTGCCAGTTTGGATCCTCAAGCTTTCGAGGTGTGGGATCCAAAGATTGAAGTTGAAAAGCCATGTGTAGCAATGTGTAGCAAAACCATGCAAAACCCATAGTCACAGCCAATGGTCACATAACATCACATAAATTTCGGATGTGCTGAAACATGGTCAACATTGAAACATGTGGACCCAGAGGCCAATTGCATTCTGTGTGCTTTGAGCTTGGCCAAAAGCCAGGAAAGCCAATCGTTTGAGAACTTAGCAGTTTCAGAGAAGAAAAAAACTCATGCTGCTATGGTACTGTTGCAACATAATTTATTGGACATTTCATCTACAAATCCCGGGAAGAGCAGGGTGGTATTGCAACTCATCGACACTTGTCGCCGTTTTGCACTTCTGGCGCTAACCTTGGGACGTGTTCAGTGCTTGTTTTCAGGCGGTGGCAGCACCCGCGCCTGCAACTGCTCCCGTCCTTTCACCAGCAGCCGCGTGAGACAAATGATCGCACAGACTGTAAAATGGCCACTTAGAGTTCCAAGTGTCGCGCACATTCATCCAGCATCCAATCGGCGAATTTACAAGATCTACCAAGATTATACATCATTATACCAGGTCAAATCCGGTGGAGGCATGGGGGCCTCTTGCTGGAACAAATTGCCTTTGCTCATCTTTGTTCTCTTTTCCTCTTCAAGTGACTGACCACAGCTTCCTCCTTGCTTTACAGCTTCCTCTTTGGTTTTGAGCCTGATGTCATGAAAGACTAGCAAGCCTTCCAAGCTGTGCTTGGTTACACGTTCATAGTCATGATACGAGTGGATTGCGATTCTCCGTGTGCTTTACCGTGTCTCCAAGAGTCTTCAAGCCTACAAGAGTCCATTTGCCATGTATTTGCCATTTACTTCTTCCAATTTCTGCACTTTTCCGTCTGCCCTTGGCTCACCTACACCTGCCTCGTCCAGCTTTCCATATTTCAGATGGTACCCCTCCAACTCGAGGGGGACCGACATGGTGCCACTCCCAGTGCCAAAGATCAGGCTGTTGGAAGCTGTTGTGCTCATTGTCGATTAACGGTGGATAAATATCTCGCATACATGTGTATATATATACACATTTATATTTATGATGTTATATGATTATATATATATAATATATATAAGTGTATATGCATATCGTTCAAGCAAAGATTGTGTACTTCACAAGTGAGAGGCCATAAGTGTTGTTGGTTTGAGTGATCAGTTGACCCTTTGGCCGCAGGATGGACAGATGGACATCAGATTTGTTTCAAATTCTGCATTGCCCACCCCCAAGCACCATGAGGCGTTGGGTCAGCCCAGGCGACAAGGCTCGAAAGATCTCGACTCTTGACACATTTTGACACGAGGGTCTTTGCGATTCCCTGTTTCGGATAGGGCAACTCTAACGCTCTTTGTCAGGTGACGATGGGGACGTGTACGAGCACTCCCAGGTACTGACTTGAGTCATTTGCTTGGAGGGATGGACTGCTGCCAACCCAGCGGATCGAAATTTGACATCATGTACTGATCAAATCCGAAAAAGGGATCACATCAGGAATTCGATGTGTACAGATGACAAGAGTAGATGACTCTGTGAGAATAAATTCACTAAATAAACTCAGCAACGCGGCTTCCGCCTGAAGTTCTTCATATGTCTGCATTGTCAGCGAATCCGTTCAGGCTCCACCCCACGTTCCGGGGCTTCGTTGCCTCATCCCAGTCAAGCGATGCGTAACTGGGCGTCGAACATGCAATGTCAGCGTCGTGTGAATATGATGAGATTGATGAGTTATGTGTGAGCACTGCGTGAGCGACAGTTTGGCAAAGCCTTGCATAGATGACTTGTTTCATGTGCCGTGGCGTGTTGCGGAAAGAGTTTAAAATCGACTTCTTGGTGTCACCCAAGGCTGGGAGAGGACTGGTACCTCGACACCATGAACCTGCTGTTAGATCGCTTGGGGCTTGGAGACGTCGGGTGTGTCAACCTTGAACTGAGGACAGAAGGGAGAACGACAATTTTTGAAGCAAAATTTCTGAGTCTTTCAATTCCATCCATGACAATATTTTGTAAGCCCAATAGGATCAGCCTTGATTGGGCATAATGATAGGATATGATGGGTATAGTTGATTTCTTGACGAATTCTATACAATCATTTGGGGTGCTCATGAGAGCAGATTGGTTCATAGAACTGAACTCAATGAGCTTTTGCATTATACAGATGAGCGCTTGCATTCACTTGTCACTTTCTTTAATTTCAGGAACCCAGCAAAACCCTTCAATCAAACTGCCTTACTATCTTCAAAATCTACCCTCTTCTCTTTTGCTTTGAACCCTCCTTGTGGTGTTCTTTCTAAACGACAGCAAGCTTCCGTTGCAATGGTCCAGCTTGTCAGTCGCTACTTGCAGCCAGACTGAACGCTAGCCTCACCCTGTGCTACAACTAGACGATGGTTGGCCCGAGAGCGAGTAGGTGTATAGGTACTCAGATGTGCTATGTAGTTGTGTGATTTGCAGACGCCAAAAACTTACATGAATATGTTCATGAGAATGTGATTTGAGATCATGTGAATATGTTCATTATGTGTAGATGTCAAGATAAGAAGATGTGAAGATGTCAGGGTTTTAGTTGCAAGAGACAGACAAGGTAATCGTACAGAAGATGTGATATGATAGGCTCTCAAAGAAGATGTGAGAAAATACAAACATACAGATATGAGTATAGGCTCTCAAACACAGACACACGCAGAGAAACATGTTTACACATAAATACACACACAGACACACACACAGACGCACACACAGAAGCTTTTACACATAGAAGCTTCTACACACAGAAGCTTTTACACACAGAAGCTTTTACACACAGAAGCTTTTTACACACGGAAGCTTTTACACAGAGAAACTTTTACACACAGAGGCTTTCACACAGAGAAGCTTTTACACACAGAAGCTTTTACACAAAAGCTTTTACACACAGAAGCTTTTATGCACAGACGCTTGTACACACAGAAGCTTTTACACACAGACGCTTTTACACACAGATGCGTTTACGCACAGACGCTTTTACGCTCACACACTTTTACACACAGAAGCCTTTACACAGAGAAGCTTTTTTACAAAGAAGCTTTTACACACAAAAGCTTTTACACACAGAGGCTTTTACCCACAGACGCTTGTACACACAGAAGCTTTTCCACACAGACGCTTTTACACGCAGACACTTTTACACACAGACGCTTTTACACACGAAGCTTTTACACACAGAAGCTTTTACACACAGACGCTTGTACACGTTTAGACGGAAGTTTTTACACACAGATGCTTTTACACACAGACGCTTTTACACACAAACGCTTTTACACAAAACCCTTTTACGCACAAACACTTTTACGCACACACACAGACACTTTTACACACAGAAGCTTTTACACACAGACTCTTTTACACACAGAAGCTTTTCCACACAGAAGCCTCTACACACAGAAGCTTTTTACACACAGAAGCTTTTACACACAGACGCTTTACACACAGACAAGCTTTTACGCACAGGAGCTTTTACACACAGACTCTTTTACGCACAGACACTTTTACACACAGAAGCTTTTACGCACAGAAGCTTTTACACACAGAAGCTTGTACGCACAGAAGCTTTTACACACAGAAGCTTTTACGCACAGACCCTTGTACACACAGACACTTTTACACAAAGACGCTTTTACACAAAAGTGACACACAGACGCTTTTACACACAAACACTTTTACGCACAGAAGCTTTTACACACAAGCACTTGCACACATTTACGCACAGAAGCTTTTACACACAGAAGCTTTTACACACAGACCCTTTTACATACAAACGCTTTTACACAGACCCCTTTTGCACACAAACACTTTTACACACAGAAGCTTATGCACACAGAAGCTTTTACGCACAGACGCTTGTGCACGTTTACACGCAGAAGCTTTTGCGCACAGAAGCTTTTACGCACAGACCCATTTACACACAAACACTTTTACACACAGACATTTTTACACACAGAAGCTTTTACACACAGACGCTTGTGCACACACGCTTCTACACACAGACGCTTTTACACACAGAAGCTTTTACACGCAGACACTTGTACACACAGAAGCTTTTACACAGAGAAGCTTTTACGCACAGAAGTTTTTACACACAGACTCTTTTGCGCACAGACGCTTTTACACACAGACACTTTTACACACAGACGCTTTTACACACAGAAGCTTTTACACACATAAGCTTTTTACACACAGAAGCTTTTACACACACACAAGCTTTTACACACAGACGCTTTTACACACAGACGCTCTTGCACACAAACACTTTCACACACAGAAGCTTCTACACACAGAACCCTTCACAGACAGACACTTTTACACACAGACCCTTTAACAGGACCAACCAAAGTCGCAAAAAAAATCTGGTTTTGGACAATCGAACCTCATTTCGTGCGAAAAGGTTGCCGCCGGACCAAGCAAAGTTGCAAAAAACCTTCAGTTTTTGACGATCGAACGTCATTTCGTGCGAAAGAGTTTCCGCGGAAGCGCAGAATCGCAATTTTACCTTTATATATTTAGTTTTTGACGATCGAACCACGTTTCGTGCGAAAGGGTTGCCGCTGACACTTGCAAATCGCAATTTTCCTTCAGTTTTTGACGATCGAACACCATTTCGTGCGAAAGGGTTGCCGCCGAGGATGTTAAATCGCAATTTTACCTCAGCTCTTGGCGATCGAACTTCACTTCGTGCGAAAGGGTTGCCGCGGAGGATGTTAAATCGCAATTTTACCGCAGTTTTTGACGATCGAACCTCATTTCGTGCGAAACGGTGGCCATTTCGTGCGAAACGGTGGCCATTTTGTGTCGCCTCGTCGGCACCACCCCCGGCCTTAAGAGAAAAAGAAAAAGAAGGAGAGAGACCGTGACCCAGGGCAAAAGAGAGAGAGCGAGAGAGAGAGAGAGAGGGAGAGAGAGAGAGAGAGAGAGAGACAGAGAGAGAGAGAGAGAGCGAGAGAGAGCGAGAGAGAGCGAGAGAGAGAGCGAGAGCGAGAGCGAGAGAGCGAGAGAGCGAGAGCGAGAGCGAGAGCGAGAGCGAGAGCGCGAGAGCGCGAGAGAGCGAGAGCGAGAGAGAGAGGGAGCGAGAGAGAGAGGGAGAGGGAGAGCGAGAGAGCGAGAGCGAGAGCGAGAGAGAGAGGGAGAGGGAGAGAGAGAGAGAGAGAGAGCGAGAGAGAGAGAGAGAGCGAGAGGGAGAGAGAGAGGGAGAGAGAGAAGAGAGAGCGAGAGAGAGCGAGAGAGAGCGAGAGAGAGCGAGAGAGAGAAGAGAGAGAGAGAGAGAGAGAGAGCGAGAGAGAGAGAGAGAGAGGGAGGGAGAGAGAGAGAGAGAGAATGAAAGGGGGGGAGTAGAAAGAAAACATGGAGAAATATAATGTGAGCAACAAAAGTGCACAGGAGGCTCGGTACCATGAGTCTGCGAATGACAT